ACATCACTCCCCACACACAGGGGGGCCCAACAGACTGACCCTACAACTTGAACCACTAACTTCCAAGGGTACGTTATTAGGTTTAGAGTTGAAGGTGGGGTGGTGAGCCACTCCCCCCAACCAAGGCAAAGAACCCCCTGCAATCCCTCTTTTACCCCTTCTTGGTCTCTCCAGGCCCAGATCGACCAGTATGTGGGGTTGGTGAACAGTCAACTGAGCCACGTCAAAGCTAAGTAAGGGCACAGGGAGGGGGAAGGGGGAGCTTGGGAACTTTTTCTTTCTATGCTTCCTGTCCCCAAGTCCCCTGGGACTGAATTCCCCTTTCTCTGAGAAGGGTGAGAGACAATTCCAACACAGGCCATTATGTGGAGGGTAGGGACTTGGGCTCTTAGCTAGTTCCCCCATCCAGCTTTCCTCTTAGTTCCCAGATGCCCACCCGGTCTCTTGCCCCACCTTGTGACCCCACCCGTTTCTCCCTCAGGATCCGAGCTAAGATCCCAGGGACAGGAGCCCTTGCCTCAGCAGCAGCTGCAGTGTCTGGATCCAAAGCCAAAGCCGAATGAGAGGGGTGTCTCTGCCTGCGGAACGCCTGCCCCCACCCGTTGCAGCCCTCTGGCCCCTCTCCATCTCCCATCCATCCCCATCCTCTCCCCGCCTCGGCCCGTCATTCCCCGGTGGGTGTCAGGATCGCTCAGACCAGGGAATCTGCGCCAATTGCCTGAGCGGCCAGGACTACATTTCCCAAGAGGCACTGCTCTAGGAGTCCCGGAAAGGCGAGGCACCTTGGCCGCAGGGCCTTCTAGGACTTGTAGTTGACTAGGCAGGGCACCGCCCTGCACTTCCGTGACCCCGCCGCTGGAGGCGCCGTGAGGGGGTGGCGTCTCCTGGACGCCACTAGCCCCAACGCCTGGGCTTTGCATGGGGCCCAGGCGAGGCCTGAGCTTGGATTTACACTGTAATAAAGACTCTTGTGGAAAACCCAAGGCCTCCTGTGCTTCCGGCGCCCTCCAGCTTTCACCTTCCTGCACTGAAAAGCGCTTAAGTGATACTCCAGGAGAACTTTCCCCATCTCTGCGGAAGACCCTTCTAGCATGTGTTTAGAGTATGAAATGATTGAGGGGAAGACGCTGAGAGATCACTCATTCCGGGGCTAGCCAAGCCTCGGCTCAAGACACTCTGCGCACTGAGCAGCTATCTCACCTGAGCCCTAGACCCAGGTGTCCAGGGACTTCTGCAAAACTGCCCCGTGCCCCACTCCCTCCACCGCCAAACATATCCGAAACTTTTCCTCATTCTATCTGATTTCCAATCCAGGGACGTCCCCACTGCCCACGTTGTCACCAGGCCAGACACCCGGGTATGACCTTGGGCTCCTTCTTCCTCACTTCCCACATCTAATCAGTCATGAAGCTATGTGTATACTACCTCCCAGATGTCTCCCATCTGCCCACTTCTGTCCACCCCAACTGCCTTGGGACCACGTACAGGACCTCACGGCCTCTCTGGGCCTCAGTTTCCAAAGCTGTTAACTGAGGAGGAGGAGGAGGTAGAGGGGAGACTGGAGACAGATCCACAGGCCTGTGTTTAAGTCCTGCCTTCACTACCTCTTGGCTGTGAGACCTTGAGCAAGTGACTTCACCTCTCAAAGCCTCAGTTTACTGAAATGGAAAACTGTCACCATAACTATACCCACATGTAAAGCTCTTGGCATGAAGTTTGGCATATAATAAATGCTTAGTAAACAGAAGCTGCTATTGTTAGTTCTGACATTTCCCAAATCTCAGTCATTCCCTCACAACCTTCATGATCGTTATATCACACCTTCTGCTATTTACCTAATATTTTTCTTTAAATTGGTTTATTTAAAAAAAACAAAGCAAATGTCTTTTAAAAAGAAATGTTACTTCACCACTTTGAAAGGACGCCAGTATTGCTCGCCAGAAACAGAAGGTAACAGTATAAGTAAAAACAAAAAAATAAACATTTAAAATGTTTGTTGGTGTACCACTTAAAATCTCACTTGCCCCTAGTGACACATGTCACATTTTCAGAGACAGATAACGATGTTCCAAGTAGTAGTTACAGCTGCAGAATTTGTATACAGGGGGTGCCTAGCAGCAGCTAATTAAAACAGAGAGGGCTTAGGGGACTTATCTTGAATATGGATTTGCCAAGCAGGAACAATATTTTAAATTTGCAAATTTAAAAAAAAAAAAAAAAAGGCCAGCCCCGTGGCTCACTTGGGAGAGTGCGGTGCTGATAACACCAAGGCCACGGGTTCGGATCCTATATAGGGATGGCCGGTTGGCTCACTGGCTGAGCGTGGTGCTGACAACACCAAGCCAAGGGTTAAGATTCCCTTACTGGTCATCTTAAAAAAAAAAAAGTTTTGGAAATAAATAGAGGTTGCGGTCACACAGCATTGTGAATGTAATTCATTCCACGCAATTTTATGCTTAAAAATGCTTAAATAACACCAAGGTCACAGGTTCCAATCCCCATACCAGCCAGCCGCAAAAAAAAAAAGAAAAAAAAAAAAGCTTAAAATGGCAATCCTAATATATAGGTTTTACCACATGAATGAAAAAGAAGTAAATATAATTTAAAAAATAGCAAATTTTTCTGTAGATGCCTTTATTTACACTTTTTATGAGACCAAGTACCCATTTGTCTCTATCAAAGAGTTGGGGAAGAGGGACCGGCTGAGATCATGGGTCCAGGAATGAGTAAAGCCCCCAAGCCCATCACTGGCACCCCCACTGGAAGCAGGAAACAGGTCGAAGATTGAAAGAGCCTTTACTGAGCACCTCTCACTTACTCCAGTAAGATTAGTGTACTAGTCCTGTTATACAGATGGGGAAACTGAGGCTCAGGGGAAAATGGTGATCATATTCTTTCATTCACCCCACAAACATTTACTGAACATCTGCTCCATGCTGAAAGCACATTTTAGGCACTAGGGATACAACAATGAGAAAAACAAAGTCCATAGGTTCATGGAGCTGATACTCTTTTTTTTTTTTCATGGTCACTTATTTATTTTTGATACCAATGTACCTGACACATGACCTGTCAGTCAGCACACACACCACCACACAGGTAGGGCCTGGCCCCCTGGGGGAGAGGTGGAACGGGGACAAGGGCCAGTGCGTAGGTGCTGTGGTCTGCCTCTCCAGCCTTCCCAGGCTGCAGCGAGGCTCCCAGGCCTTCAGAGGTTGGGGCCATAGCAGATGCATGAAGTGGTGGTGGGGGGGATGCTGGCCTTGCAGAGGTTACTGGGAGGGAACTCTCAGCTCTACAGCCACCAGCTGAGTTGGGGACCCTGGGGAGCCAGCCCCCAAGCTCAGGTGCTCAGTCCTCACCCCAGCTGGAACACATTAGCCCTGCACAAGGGAAGGGAGGACAGATGGAGGGAAGTGGTTCTCGTTTCAAGTTCATAGAGAAGTGGGGGCAGCGATGAGGAGAAGCAGCGGGCAGGATCACGGCTGGTTACCTCAGCAGTCCAGGGCCCCAGGTGGGGGAGGGAGGCTGACCCCCAACGCTGTTCCCACTGCTCTGGTCCCCTCACCCTTCAAAACTCCAGATGGACCAGGCCTCCGGAACGTCATTGCTGCCCGCACACTCACATGCAGGCACGCAGGGACACTCAGTTACCACAAGGTTAAAATTAAGAGGTGGGGAGAAGAGAGAGAAAACAAGTTATAACAGTGCTTGCTGCTGGGGACCCCGGCACACAGGTTGGGCTCTGTGCCCTAGGCAGGGGCCCTTTGCCATTAAAGGAAAGAGCAGCAAGAAGGCTGGTGGCTACAGGGTGGGGACATCCACAGAGATTAAGTACAAAGGAGGGGGATGCCCCCACTCAGCACCCCCACATAAGGCTGAGCTGGCTCATGGGGGTGGGGCGCATGTAGGGGGAGCTTCCCCACTTGGAGTGTCCTGACTGACCCTTTGCTGAAGGTGCTCCAGTGGGCAAGGGGCTGGGAGTGATGCCTTTTTTTTTGGCCACTGGCTGGTAGAGGAATCCATCTGAGCTAACTGGCCAGCCCAGCTGGGGGTGATGGCTTGCAGGCCCCTGCACACTAGAAGGGAGGGGGTGCTATGTACAGGGGGAGGTACATGGAATGCGGGAGACAGAAACTCCTGCCACCCTACCTCCCCATCCCTCGGGGCTCAAGGGGGATGGGTACTGTGGCTCCTGGCTGCCAGGGGAGAGAGACAGAACTAAGGGCACTTGTGCCAGTGGCTCTGTTGGGGTGAGGATTAGTGTCTGGGGTGGCCCAGCCCCATGGCCTATAAGATCCCAGGGTGCAGGTGAGGGTATAGGGAGAGTGGTCACTGCTTCTTTTCTCAGGCAGTGATGGTGACCAGCTGCTTGGCAGTATTGGGAATATCATAGATGCACTGGATCACCTGCTGAGTTAGCAGCTAGAAGTCCACGGGGGTACTAGGCTCCAAGGGCATGGTCTTCAAGCACTTGCTCTGCAGCTGGTAGGGGCTGACATTGAACAGCTGCAGTCAACTTTGCATGAGCTCCAAGGCTGGCCTCTTTGGGAAGAGAGAGGCGTCTTGGTCACAACCACATGGATCTTCTCTGAGCAGGTCACAAATCTGTCATGCTTGAACTCCTGGGCCACCCGTAAGAATTCCTGAATGTTCTTGGTGACCCACTCTGTCTTCAAGATGACACCCTCTGTGCTGGGAAGCCCAGGGTCTAGGTCTTCGTGGAGCTGATATTCTAGTGGGAGCAGACAGACAATAAGCAAATAGACGTAGAATATGGCAGGTGGTGATGAGGATGATGGAGAAAAGTCCAGCAGCGTAAGTGGACACAGTGACAGGGCTTTCTATTTTAAATTGAGTCATTCGGGAAGGCCTCACTGAGTGGCGATGTTTGAACAGAGGCCAGAGTGAAGGGAGGCAGTGAGCCATGTGAACATGTGGAAGAAAGGAGATCCAGGCTGCAGGATCACCAAATGCAAAGGTCCTTAGGAGGTAACATGCCTGATGTGTGCAGCAAGACCCCTGTATGCCCGAAGCCAGGTATGTGAGGGAAGTGGCTAGCAGACAGCGTCAGAGGTGTGAAAGGTGCTATTATAGAGATTTGTAAACTGGGGTGAGAACTTTGACTTTTACTCTAAGATGGAAGTCATGGAAGAGCTTCATGCGGGAAAATATTGTTATCAAGAGATCACTAACTTAGGTTATAAAAGGGTCACCCTTCTTGTAACAATAATTACGACGGCACAGGTTGGATGGACCGTGTGAACTGGGGTATGGTACTACCCCTTTCTGAGCTTCGGTTTCCCCAATCATAAAACGCAGTTGCAGAAACTGATGGTGTCTAACATCTAAACTCGATGGGGACAGGATGTGTTTCATCCCCAGCATGTAGGACAGTGCCTGGGACTCAGTGGACGTTCGATAAACATTGAACGAACACAGGACTCCGTAGGTCCCCGCAGTTCCACAGAAGAACAGCAGGTGTCGCACCAGCCTCATAGCTGCCAGCCCAGAGGCTCCGGGGCCGGGACAAGTCAGACTCTGACAGAAGCCCACTCCTCCGCAGGAGTAGAATTCGTATTTTTCCAGGAAGGGACTTCTGAATGCTGAACTCTGAGTATCTCCTCTTAAAACACTGACTTTTCACTTTGGAAAAAGGGTCTCTTCGCCCTTTAACAGGCAGCCAGGTCCGTAGGCGCCCCTTCCCAGAATGCTCAGCGCCATTTAAATGAGCAATGTCCTGCGCGAGGATGACTCACGTTATATAGGGCAGAGACAACATTTTGGAAGAAATCTATCTAAGAAAGAGATAGGAAAATTACAACTATTCAAAGTAACTATTTCATAGCCTTCCGAACTACACTCTCCACAAATCACCATGAGTCTAAAAGTTAAGGATTTATGAGCTTTATATAGCTTCTCGGGGAGGAGGGACTCCGCCCGGATGATCCTCAGTGGTCTGGGGTGCAGGCTTCAAACC